CATAATCCCAACCATAAGCTTCTACTTTTGGTTTTGGGCTTAATTATAGTCTTAATGGTTTAATTGTTGCAACCTGTACAGAATGAAGACTTGAAGTCCTTTTGCAAGCAAGAGTTGACTTGGAAAGTGAGATCTTGAAGGACTTTTGAAGAGTCCCTTACGTCCTTCAGGAAAGACTTTATAATTCTTGTGATGATTCACAAAAATTATTACTAGACATGACTTGGTTTATATACATTTTAAATGCATGCATGTGATGGTTATTTGTATGTTATTGTATGCTATGTTTTGTGTATGAAAATGAGTATTACATGACAAAAAACATTTGAACATAAAATAATATCACTTAGAGTTTGAGTAAAAAATATTTAAAAGATAATGTAAGATGTTTATAAATGAATATTTATAAAAACGTTTTTACCGCTTTCTGGTTTACTGGTTAAAAACCGATTTTTTTATTGAAAATAGTTTTATTGTAAAACTTATAAACATCCAACTTTAAAATATTTGAGATGGTTTAAAAAGTGTTTAAACATTATATAAACTCCAAGTCTTTATAATAAATAAGGATTTTTTATTAAAAAGACTAAAATCGGTTTCTAATGTTATAACGACAAATTATAAAACTAGTGATTATTTTTGCATCAAAACTTAATATATGATATTAGTGTTTTAACATATCGCAAAATGTTAATATTATGCTTTATGCGCGTCAAATGAGATTTAAAACATAAGTATCATCACCGAAATTTTGGTTTATCGTAAGATGCATAAAATTGAGTTTATAAAATAAATTGAGTTTATTTTACAAATTCATAAAGTCATAAGATTTTGATTGTTAAAAGGAGACTTAAAAGACTGATTTTAGAACTCATCAAAAACTTCAAGTTTTAAGTATAAAATGAAGTTTTATTAAGACTATTACCAGTTCTTAAAATCGCTCTACAACTAAACTTTAAAATATCAGATTTTAGTTTATAATTCATCGCGGCTAATAGTAAATGTAATCAAGTTTTATTTGGTACCTAAAGAACCTTATAACAAGTGATATGATTTTTACAAAAGGATACATGAACTGTTGGATGCATGCAATATTCACGAGACCATGTTTTTTTATAACTATAATTGTAAAACATATATAAAACAGTTTCTTAAAAATGCAAGTCATTGTCGTCCTTGTGAAGAACACTCAATATCATTTGTATGGTCTTAGTGGGCGATGGGTCACATAACCACTAGGATTGTCTTATAATGTTCGAGGTAGTTTTGTAGTTTCTGGTGACTAAAGGGTCACCTTGTTGGTTATGTGCAATACTACAAGTTGTTTCAAGTAAGAAGACTTGATCTGAATCTTATGTTATAAAGGTCACCTAAGCATGAGAGGTCCAAGGCATAGATGGGATCAAACATGCCAAGATAAGCAATAGATTTTTAGGATCCCATTATCTAGAAATTACATATTGTATGCAATTGGTAATCGCTACCTAGTGAGTTTGATTAAGTGGATGGGATAAAGGTCACCTAACCATTTACTTGTTTCGTTACTTGGATCCTAGACTTTAGTAAATTAATGTTTTAAGAAAAAAAAATAAAAGGTATTAATTTTTAAAGACTTAATAATGAAAATACTAAATGAAACTTTGTTAAATTCTGTGTATAACTATTAATACTCTTACTCCCCTGCAAAACCTCTCTCTTGTTGAGTTTCAAGAGACAATAACATTTTATGGTTATAATTTCTATAACTGGTATAATACTTTGAGGTTCTACCTTAAGGATAAATAGAAATTATAATATTGATATGTCCCATACCTGAACAACCTCTGCAAGCCAGTCAGTCAGATCATGATACTTTAGTGGAAGTATTATTGTGATGATATTGATGTGTTTTCACATCATACTAGAGTAATGAACCTTGACTTGTAGAAAGTTTTGGATAATTATGAGACATATCAAATGTCTCATCAAGTAAATAAAATATTCAATCAGAATAGTAGAAAGTGCTTCAAGTCTATTCAAGCATTAAATAAACAAAGTCTAAGAGATTGTGTACTCAAATAGACTTATAGACCAGTTAAGGGGAAATACAACATAAACCCAGAAATCAAGAAATGATCAGAATGATTAGTATTGTTTCTATTGTGAAGAAACTAGACACTAAAAGATGAACTGTTTTTCTTATCTCGGCAAGTTGAGGAAGTCTGGCTTGACTAAGAATTTAGATATCTATATGATAGAATTATTTATTTTTCCATCATTCACTTGAGTATTTAATACTTCAGGTGACAATAATAATTGATATTATGTGCTGATGATTAGAAGAAATAATCAACTGATTACAAACGAATGGTATTTCGTGCTGAAGATATAACAAGTGTTGTTATAGTCTTTATTTGACCAATAGATGTTTAGTACCTATTGTTATAGAAATATGTAACAGTTGTAATTTATGAATAACTTTAGTTTATTTATCGTTTAATGGATGTTCACATTCACGTTCTGAAACGATGTATTCTATGTTAAGAATATTTTTTCATAATCTACCCTAATAAATGAAAATGTTTTTGCCACTTGTCATTTTCTCAGGATTTTTGACACATTGCATTATGTGAGATTTTTGAATTACTTAAATTTCACATGTCATTATGTGGTATTTTCATTTTTTTTATAATAAAAAATTAATCAATCCCACTAATTAACACCTCTATTATTATATATGTAAAGTATATATTATATTAAATGTGTAGATCAACACCATAATTAATGAAACATTTATTATTTAAGGTAAATATATTTTTCTCCATAAAATGAATATAATAATACATAGTTTGTTTTTTCTACCACTAAAACCATTTATTATGATTTTTTGTTACATAATTAAAATAATGAAATATTATAAAATAATATTGTCAAAATTAAGATATAATAAAATATATTTTGTTAAACTTTGAAATGAAGTAGGCATTAAAATTATTTAATGTTTACACCTTAATATAAAAATTTTATTTTTAATAAAATCGTGTAGTACACGGGTCTCACACCTAGTGTCATTTATAAAGTAAATCTATAAGCTTTAATTAAATTGATAGTTCTAATCATGCCACCTAAATAATCAAATGATATTTGATTGAAACTTATCTATGTCATAATCATGTAAATATGAAACACACATATCAACTTCAAAAGGATGGAATTTTTTAAGGCAAATGAGCTTGACTTATTTGATATATGTGAATCTTATTTATATGGGAAGAGGATCCACAAGTGTCTTTATATATTAGTAGTTAAAGAAAAAAAAATGTTTGACACATAATTATACATGAGTGATGTATATAATCTTTTCAATTCATGAATAGATTTGGTGATGGATGATTAATCAATTTCACTAGACGACTTTTATTCGTGTTTTTTGAAACCTTTGATTTGCTCAAATTGTTTCATAGTGAATATTGAAATACAACTTAATGATACCATCATTAACCTTTCGTTGTGGTAAACAAAATGAGTTTTGTAATGTTACACCCCTGGCCGAGGCGACGGAACATGTCGGGCTGTGTGACATAATTCTTGGATCAATAGCAATTGGATATATAGCACAAGTACAACAATATAAAAATAGTAGTTGCATTCTATCTTAAAGTTTGAATACAAGGTTCTTACACATAATAATAGAGTACATGAATTTCCTGAAACAGCTAGGTTAAAATAACAAAAACTAGAAAACTAGGTCGCCCGAAATCCGTGACTATTCCGTCGTCTGAAATGCTTGTTTAGTGATTTCTTGAGAATACATGTTTTTTTGAGGGTCAACACAAGGTTGGTGAGAGTTACATGTTTTCTACTAGTGTAGTAGTGATACTTTTAAAATGATTAAAAAGTATTTCTTTGTAAGTAAAATCATACTTATGAATGACTTTGTAAAAAGCGTTTACAGAAACTTTGAAAACCAAAAGGTTTTTTTTCCATAAGTAAAACCATACTTATAACTATTTTGAAGTGAGAGAGAAACCAAATCAATGGTTTGTAGTGATACTATCAAATGTTTATAGTGAATTCTATAACAAAGCTATACGACTAGAGTGCCCTCTATGATGCTTCATTTGGATGTCGTATAACTGATAAGATAAATATCACCCACTTCGATTTGTGGTCGTGGTTGTAGCTAGCATCCGCAAGTGTTAGTGTCAATCCGTATAGATTTATACAAATGTATCTAGCTCTGAATGATTACCAATTATAGTAGTAGGGTTCTTCTAAGTATTTCTACCTAGGTAATTAATAGCATCTCATTATAAAAGCCACTGACTAATGTATATGAATAACCCGCCCTATCTTATACATGGATAAGCATCTGGGGCATAATGATCGAGAGTGGATAGCCCTAACTTATACGTGGATAAGTCACTAGGAAAAATGATTTACGTTGCATAAAGTTTATAAAAGTCAAGTATGTTCGATAAGTATATGCGTAAAAGTTTACAATACTCACTTAAATAAGTGGTAAATCTCATAGTAGTGATAACAGGTATATATATATATATATATATATATATATATATATATATATCACTACAAATAAAATGACTTATTGTGGCACAGAAAAAGTGTCACTAAAAACCGAAAAAGTGCTACTAAATGCCCTCAAGGCAATCAGCGGCACAAAAAAAAGTGTCACTAAAAACGCTGTCACTAAAGGCCTATAGTGGCACTTTTTGGTTGTGTCGATACAACCTTATTGGCTTTAGTGTCACTTTTTTTACTATGCCACTACATCACTTATAGGGTTTTAGTGCACTATTTTTATGCCGCTATTAAATTGTTAAAATAAATATATTTTTATGCTTTTAGTAACATTTTTAACAAAAAGAAAATATACTAATAAATCAAATTTAATTTTTTTTTAATTTTATCTGGAATATAAAATAATAATAACAAGACCATTAAAATTATAAATGGAAGACACAATATCATTACTTCAGTTAAAACTTGTCTAACAATAGTATTCTTCATATATAAAGCACAAATGTCTTCAAAAAAAAAGTTCAATAAATCTAAATGTTGTGCTCCTCGTGAAGAAATGTTGTGCTCCTCTTGAATCGGTAACTTGTCCATCTTCTTTAACTTCACCGCATATTATACATTCACCTGTAAGTACCAACACAAAACAACATACATATTCTTAAGTATATTTATAATATGACAAACTAAAATCTGATTTCATCAACTAAAGAACTTGCCTTTTTACCAGGAGCAACTACTCATCATACTTATCGAATGGATATTCATCATCCTCTTGTTTATCTCCCGCAACCAAACCTCAAGTGAATTGTAATGTGTTTTTTCTCTTTTTTTTGGTGTCATATAGCCATCAGGCATAACTTCAATAGAATCCAGCTCCTCAATTGAATTCCCAACGACCTAATCTATAAAAAGAACAAATCAAAAGACAATTATTCACTTTTTGGTATACTCTTTAACGCCGATACATATACATGTGTTTTGAAAGATAAAAACGATATAATACACTCAAAACTACATAAAAATCCTATCTTCTAGTTAAAATACCATATTTACCTATGTTTAGTGCAAATTTACATTTTATGGTCACAAAAATGATATAATGCACCCAAAACTACTCTAAGGCTTCACGGAGTGGGATGAGGTTTGGAACCGCGATGGTGACACGTGGCCAGGGAACACCGCCCCCAGGGTGCGGTTAGGTGCGGCCAAGACCGCAGTGCGGTCCTTAAAGACCGTGGTTTGTGATTGGTTGTTGGTGGGTGTGACCGTTGGGGGCATAAATGAATTGATTTATTATTATTTTTTTTTTCCTTTTTTGCCTTTTGAAAGTGTGGCATCACTCCCTTGGTGTGGCAAGAAACCACACTTGTGTGGTAAAAAATGACATGGCGCTGATGTGGCGGGGGAGGGAGTGCGGTTTCGGTGGCACCACAAGGTGCATCATTATTTCAACGTATCCAGACACTTCGGGTGTATCATTACTCATCAGTTAACTAAAAAGTACAGGTGCTTTCTGATACAACTTTCTACAAATCAAAATTATGCAAATTATTGACTTTTAATCCTTGTTTTTCTATCATAAATTTTTTATAAGCTTTGGATTATCAAATTGCCCATATAATTGGTGGTGTGAATCACAATACCTTCCTATGGGCATTGACGAACAAAAGAAACACCATAATAGAAAAAGACAAATAAGGGTATAATAGGGAACAACTTCAGGAAGATAACATATCAAAAGTGTAGTAGAGGTTTTCTGGTGGACAATAAGTCGAACACATGGTGTGCCTAATACAAACCCACATAAATCTCACTTTAAATAGTACAAATTTAAAGAATAAAGTATAAGTTATCAATTCATCTGTTGGAATATAACTCCAACATCTGTGGTTGTCGATGACCATTAATACATTGGAAAAACTCCATAAACACACACCATTGTCCTCTTGCCCATCTAAAATTCCTATAATGAAAAATCCTAAATTACCAAGTTAACAAAAAAAAAAGAATAGATTCAAAAACTAATAAATCGACCCTATTCTTTCAAAATCAAACAAATGTGACTTTTCTAGACTTGAATGTTTTCAAAGAAAAAGAAAATCAATGAAATTGAAAGTATATGGGGAAATCGAACTACCTTTAGAGGAAGCTTGTGTTGGTTTGATGCGAGACAACATCGTCGCTCTAATATGGTTGTCACCGGTCCGATGTGGCATTGCGTTGGAATTATGTTCCTCGTGGATGAGTGGAGCAGTGGAAACAAAAAAGTGAGAAGTCGATTTCATTCTTGCTTTGGCGTCTGATTAGGAAACATATAAAGTGTAATGCTTTTAAGTTTTTCGTGTTGGAGGGAATTAGAAGCGCCAAATTAAAATTAGAATTTTCAATCAGATACAGTGGCACACAAAAGAAAATGTGCCACTAAAAAGTTACCGGCACAAAATATAATATGCCACTAAAGTCTTGTGTCACTAAATGTAATTTTTTTTAATATATATATATATATATATATATATATATATATATATATATAGACGTGTGTGTGTTTGTGTATGTATGTATACACACACATGCATGATATAAGTTTTGAAACACTACAAAGGTGGTAACCTTTCAAGACATGTGATTTATGACACACATAAAATCATAACATTTTGTAGTATGGAGCATATGTTATTTTTGACTAGTTGTTTCATTTAAAACAACAATAACATGTGTATATATCAAGTTTATAACTAGTTTCTCTATATCAAAGTCTTATTTAACAACTAGTGTAACGTCCCAAAAATTAAGACTAAAAATTTCGATTTCTAAATTAATAAAACCATTATCTAAAACAATATTATGAAAATTATAGTGAAATAGAGTGTATCAATAAACATCCAAGTACATCAGAGTCATGTAATACGCAGAACAATGTGGTGTGTGCAATGCAGTCATCCCGAGCTCTTCTCTTTCGAAATAGAAGTACCTGAAAACATAAACTAAAAACCGTAAGCACAAAGCTTAGTGAGTTCCCCAACATACCACATACAATACATAATAAACACATAATAGGCCCCGTCCGACATGGAGCCCTGCTCAAAATACAAATTTGTCAGTCATCAGGCCCCGCCCAGTATACATATAAACATATAAACATATAATCATACAGCACATGCGATAATCACAAAGATAATAGCATACTGAATAGTCATCGGGCCCCGCCCGACATCGGGCCTTACCCGGTAAACATACAATCATATAACATGAAAGAGTCACACACACATCTAGCACCCTAACATAATAAACCATAGGCCGGCATTGATGACTTCGGCCCACTAAACACAGTGAGGAAACTCACCTCGTCGACAATATCCACAGCTAACAGCTCACACAACCAACGAACGGGTGCCATACACCTCCTAGTAAACCATACAAGGTAAACCCTTAGTCCACCTTCTAAAATTAGCAATTTGACCAAAAGTCAACTCCACCAAAAGTCAACACTCAAAGTCAACAGTCAAAGTCAAAGTCAACAATCAACATTTCCATCAGTTAACACTCACGTCGTCACCAGTCCTTGGTCACGTCGTGAGAACGCACTCGGCTAGATCCTAACTCAACTCGCTTCAACTCAGTCAACTCGGTCCCGGATGACCCACTCAGAAGACCTCACGACATGAATCTTCCTTCGTCACGTCGTGAGCTCAGTCAGTCGAAACAATCGTGTAAAAACCACTCTCATGTCGTGACACTCCCTATGTCACGTCGTGAGACACGTATGATGCTAAATCCTAATGTCTTAAGTCCTTAATCCAATAAGTCATCCATTCCAACTTTCCAGATGGATTTCATACATCAAAAGCAACATAAAAAAATCTTTACTTTATAGACATGCATGTCCAATGCATGTCTTGAACTTGATTAGGTCAAAATGGAGAAAATGTGTAACACTAGTCAAAAGTAGGTCAATAACAATCCAATCATGTAATGTGATCTTGTTAAAACTAGTAATGTGATAAACTTACTATGTATTTCATGATAATTCTAATACAAATATGAACTTTCTTTATGATACAACTCAAAGTATACATCCATACGATTCCAAAAATATAGAGAACATCTAAATCTAACTTCGCGTGAAGAAGTTATGATAAACCGAACACTATAATCTCTATAAAAATAGGAATAAAAAATATACTTATAATTAGCTATTGGATTCTAAAGATAGTTGTAGTACTCGTAAATACCTACGCGTGGATATAAAGAACGTCAAAAACGGAGTTCGTATGCAAAAGTTATGGCCTTCCGAAGATGTCGCTGTCAGAAACCCTAATTTGACTGAACTCACGATGTGAGCACAGAAACTCACAACGTGAGGAGTCAAACCGCCACATTTCGGATCTAGAAGGTGCATGACGAGGCTACGAAATGATAAGATCCAAACTCACGACGTGAACATTGATATTTCACGACGTGAGGAGTCATATGGCCACCTTCGGAAGCTAGAAGACAGATGGCAAGTCTACGAAGAGATAAACTCGAAACTCACGACGTGAACAATGAGTTTCTCATGTCGTGAGGGTCCAAAATCTTTCCTATAAATAGCAGGCCCAACCTTGACACTTCCTTACACCATTTCCCTTTCTCCTTTCTCCTTTGCTGAAGCCCTCTTGCATCCCGAGCCCCGACGACCTCGTACGCTGACCGTTTCTGCTTAGATTACATAAAATCATGCTACTAAGGTGAGTTTCACGGCCCCACTTTCTAATATTTTCGGGGGAAAACGCATGCTAAATATTGTATATACGTTATTATTATGTCTAAATGATAGTATATTAGTATCAACGTTGATAGTTATCATAACCGGGATATAGTTATTTCGTATCTGAAAATATACAACTATCGTAAAGTTGTTAGCATGTTATTGTTATAGTAGTTTACTAATGTAGATCTTGAGTTATACTTAGGATTCTATATATATGTTGTGTGCGATATAGTTCCAGAGCTATAGTCGGAAGTTCTATATGTTAATTGGTAAGTATGTTGTTATTGTTGGTTTTATATCAGGATAAAACCAGGTATGTTATATGTTGTTGTTATTGGTTTTATGTCAAGATAAAACCTGGTTTTAATTCTAATTGTAGTTGTTGTACTACCGCAAGGTGTGATCCTTGTACTACCGCAAGGTGTAATCCTTGTACTACTGCAATGTGTGATCCTTGTAATAAATATAAAACTAAGTCATATTGTCGCAACTACAGACTCATGGTAGCACAACTTTAGAAGCATTATACTTTGTCGATATACAAGTATGAATGTTAAGTATAAGTTCCCCAAAGACTTATACTCTAAGTATAAGAATCTAGTAGGTATATTACTTATATATTAAGTAGACCACTACATCTATCCCACTTACTCGTATAGAATTGAAATAGATTTATACGTAGCGGTTTTACTCGTATAGAATTGAAATAAGATTTATACGTAGCAACTTTCATTTGTATGGAATTACAAACACTTATAATCATAGTATATGAAACTTATAGGTAAACTACTTATTTGGTAAGTAAACTTTTATATCTAGGATATATATACTAAACGTTCGAGAGTTAAAATGATACTTTCAAAACTATACTTTTGAACTTGGAAAATGTATTATTTTTATATGGAGTCAAAACCTGTGGACTCACCAACTTTCTGTTGACGTATTTTTAAATGCATGTGTTTTCAGGAAGTTGATAACTATGATACGAGAAATGACGTTACACTGCCTGGTGTTTCCGCCGACGGCCGGGGTGTGACAGATTGGTATCAGAGCTATTAACTATAGTGAATTAGTACTTTCTTAGGAAAGCACAACTATAGTTTAGGGCTTACTCTGTTAGGTTTAGGTATATCCCTTAGCCTACAATATAAAGTATTATTAAATATTCTACTGAAGGACTACTTACGGGAGCGGTGACAGGATATACATGTCGATTTGGGTTGCTGGATTTCAGAACGGCTATATGCTAAAATGATCCTGCCCTCCGACTGTCCTGACTGGCCGGTGCCTTATCAGATAGACCTGAAGTAACGAACAATAATTAATAGAGCATGAATATAACAAATATAGAGTCACATATGAAGACTCTGACCCACGATGATAATACACCTAAATACCCGGAATGTTTTTGATCTCAAGGATTTAGATCAGATATGCCAACTAAAGTTCATATGTGCATAGATCTTATCACAACTAGGTGTAGGTGTAAAACTATATTTTATTATGATCAGATCATATGAACAATTTAAATTGGGAGTAATATTTGATAGACTAAACACTTGGTGATCCAAAATGTATAGGAACTAAACAAAATGCCTAGAAGAAGTAGCGCTCGTCTAAACCTTAACCAACGACCAGAACCACAACAACAACAACCGCAACCACCACCACGAGAAACAAACCCTTCAATAAGTTCAGCAGAACTTGAAGAAATAATAGCCCAGAGAATCGCTGCAGCTCTTGCTAATGTCACAAGAGGAGGAGTTAGAAATGAAGGTAATGTAGGGACCGCCAGAATGTGTACCTACAAGGATTTTATGAATTACAAACCTAAGAGCTTCCATTGAACGGAATGGGTTATTAACATGACCCGGTGGATTGAAAAGACAGAATCAGTATTTCAAATAAGCTTATGTCCGGACGAATGTAAGGTACGATTTGTTGCGTGTACCTTCGCTGATGCAACACTTACATGGTGGAACAGCCATGTGAATACAACGGGTATTGATGCTGCCAATTCCATGCAATGGGAAGAGCTGAAGAGGATGCTAGTAGAGGAGTATTGTCCCAGGGAGGAAATACATAAGCTGGAACAAGAATTGTGGGCCCTAACCATGAAGGGTTCAGAGATAAATGCTTATACCGCTAGATTCAATGATCTTACAGTGATGTGTCCAACACTAGTAACCCCATAATACAAGAAGATCGAGCGATATATCTGGGGTCTAGCATCTCAAATCAAAGGAATGGTGATCGCATCGAAGCCTACAACATACGACAGTGCAAAGCGTATAGCTCATCAGCTAACCAGCACAGAAATCCAAGTGGGATTTATAGCTGAGCCTCCCGAATCTGGAAAGAACAAGCGCAAATTTAATGGGAAGAATCCCATACAATCATCTGAGGAGAGACAAGATGTGGCAACTAATTATGCAACCACAACAGCAATACCCCTACAACCAAGGAAGTATGCTGGAAAACTCCCAATGTGCACTCAGTGCAACCGTCATCACCTAGGTAACTGTTCATGGTGCAGTTAATGTAACCGTCAGCACGCAGGTGACTGTTATATTTGCATGAAGTGCAAAAAGAGGGGGCACACTGCAAATTACTGCAGGAGCACAACACCTACAACATAAAATCAAGGAAC